GGCCGTGCTGCTGCCCAAGAAGACGCAGAGCTCCAAGAAGTGAGCGCTGCCCCCCGTCCCCCCGCCCCCAGCTCCCTTCTCACCACTGCCTCACCTCTCCTCCCGCTGGGGCTGCGGTTCCCCGTCCTGCCCCTCAGCCCTGGCCGGGTGGTGAGCCCTGGCAGCACCCACCAGCCCTTCACTGCCCCTCTGGCCTGGGCCGTGGCAGGGTGCTGGGTGAGCATGGGTGAGGTCAGGCCCTGCTTGTGCCCCCACTCTGCCTCTCTTCCCTCTGGAAGAAGTGGTTTTGGAGGAGGCAGCTGGATCGCAGTTGCTGGCAGTGGTGACATCTGGAGCCGTGCGGTTAGGTCACGGTGCAGGGCTGCTGGTAGCTGCTGAGGATTGTTGTAGCTGGCCAAGGGATGGACGCGGGCACCCCCGGCTGCCTCTCCCCTCCGCCAGCCCCGGGACTGTGCAGGGCCCCCCCGGCTGGCCCTGCTCGCCCCGGTGTGTGCTCGCTGCTGCCGTGCCCCCGCCTCCATCCTCAGCAATGCCATCCTGGCCGCACTGCAGCTGCGAGGGCAGGGGGCTGGAAAACGTGAAGAGGAGAAAAAGTTTCTCCATTGGCAAGGAGTGGCTGTTAGTCTTAGTTTTGTTCATGGTAAAACTAGTGCATTGCCTACTGTAAAGAAGCTTTAGTCCTATTTATTTTAAGGTCTCTATTTTTGGGTACATCCCTGTAAAGTCACCTCCCCGCAGCTCCCTGGCTCGGTGGGTGCTGGGGTACTCGGTGTTCCCACAGGCCGTGGGTCCCGGTGGCAGGGTGGGGCGGAGGCTGCGGTGACAAATCCCCTCGGAGAGCGTCGCAAGGTCAGGCGCCCGCCGGGAGCGGGAGCTGCCATCTTCTGCCATGGCTCCCCTCCTCTCCCAGCTGCAGAAGCCCTTCGTCTCGCTGAGAGCTGCCCTGTACCCTGGTTGCACTTCTGGAAATTACATACTCTGTCTCTTTTTTTGTTGTTGTTTGTTTGTTCAGCACTATTTCTGGCTCTGAGAAATAAAAGTGACGATGATATCTGTTAACTGTAACCCTTTATGGATTAATATTTCTTTTGAAAACCACTAGAGTTTGTATTAAAGCCCACTCCTGGCTAGTGCCATGTTTATTTCCTGGCTGTGTGGCTAATGTTGAGCATGGGGGCAGGATAGCTGTCCCGTGACCCCGTGAATAGGTGATGCAGAGACAGCTTTCCTGCTGCCCAGCTGCTTCTGTGAGGCTGATACTTGTGTGCATGCAGCAGTGTCGAGGCAGTCCCACCTAGACCTTCATCACACGGTTTTTTAAGTAAAAAAAAAAAAGTATCTTCTATTTATGTGCTGTAAGTAGCATGTGTTCAACCTATTGAATCAGCTGTTAATCTTGTGGATGAAGTATCTTACCCTGGATCTGAGTTTAATGTTACCTAGAGTAGAACCTGGATGCTTGTCAGCTGGCTAATGCAGGGGTTTTCCATTCGGGTGTGTGGGAGCGGTGTGTGCATTGGTGTGGTGCTGGTGGGGGTCTGGAGGTGTCCCACCGTCCCACTGGGGTGGGGACAGCAGGGCACAGCCCCCCCGGGAGCTCTCTGCCTCCTGCAGGGCTGTTGCCATCAGCAAGGTGGGGATCAGCAGTTTCCTTCCTGCTGCCCAGTATCATCCTTAGTGTCTGTATCTTAGTGTCTTGTTCTCTCCCTCTTGTTTTCTCCAGGACCAGCATTCTGTAAACCTGAGAGTGCTTTGTATTTCTTAGAAAAATGCAGAACTTGTGATTCTGAAAAGAATGGTGCAAACCTGATATCTGATTAAACTGGTTCCCTGTTGAATGCTCTTAAATGTGCCGTGTCTTGTCACCTCACCAAACCCACGGAATCTGGCAGGCTCTGATGTCTGGGCTCTGTACTCTCTCTCCAAGGGGAAGGACTAGTAAAACACCAGACAGGACCACTGCCAGACTGTGGGCTTGCCCTTCACTCAGATGGGGAGCCTTTTCCTACCCTGGGAGAAGATAATGCTGTTGTGTGGCTCTTCTCCCTGCTGGGGGGATGCCACACTGCCTGCCTGTTCTGTCACAAGTGCCAGGAAGCTTCAGCTGCTCCTGGCTGGGTGCAGTGGAGGAGGAGTGAGGCTGGACCCAGGACCTTCCCCCAGTGCTGAAGGTGCCCCATGGCTGCTCCAGGAGCCTTTGGGTGACCTTGCAGAGATGAGAAAATTCCCTTCAGAGATCCTGAAGTGAAGGAAGGAACCTGGAGCTGCAAGGCAGTTTGTTACTCTCACACCCTCTCATTTGTTGGACATTCCCAGATGGCTGTTCTGGAGGATGCTCTGCAAGCCAGTGTTGCACCTGTTTGGGTTCTAGGGAGGAATAAGGGTTGTGGAAGCTTGGATGACTCCCAGTGGTGTTCGGGTTGGTCTGTGCAGGGCTGTAGGAGGTGTGGGTGCTGGGCAGGTCCCTGTAGGGCAGTGTCACCTGCTGCCCAGGGCTTGCAGCCTCCCTGGGTGTGGTGTGGTTCTGCTGAGGCTGGGTGCTGGTGGCACACAGTGCCCTCCACACTGAGCTCCAGCTGGGCTCTGAGCTGCCTCTGCTGGCATGTGACAGACCAGCTGGGATGGTGCAAGGCAGACCGAAGGAAATCCTGTCTGTCACAGCAAGCATTGCTGAAGTGCTTGGCCTTTATCACCTCATAAGCTTCACAGCTGAACAGTGTTGTGACCAGGAGCTTTGGAAGTCTTGGTCTTTACTATAAAGCTGGAATAAATGTGGTCACTGTCAAGCCTGCAGCTTCAGGGACAGGTCTTGTCCTTTCTGAAGGGCTGTTACTGGTCCACAGCCCATGTGAAGGACTTGGCTGAGCAGAGCCTTCCCCAGAGGTCAGGAAGGGTCTCTTGGTCTGTGCTTCCCTTACGGAGAGGCCTGGGAGGCTGCAGGGTTGTTCCCTTGTCTCTTGGGTACCTGAAGATGGGATGAGCACAGACTGGGAGCTGAAAGCTGCCTGCTGTGGGAGGCTGCTGTGCATCACCACGTGCAGCACAGTCTCTGCCAGCTGTGTCCCTCAGCTCTGGCACTTGGATGAGATGAGTCACTGGCTCTTGAAAGTCCCCAGGGCTTGGGTTTCTCTCCAGAGCCTGGTCCTCATGGTTGGCAGCACCCAGGGGAGCTCACTCAGGGATGCCCCAGCATTATGGCTCTGGCAGGCTCAGCCTGTGAGGTAAGGCAGCTCCAGCTGGATTGGCAGAGTGTCACCCTGCTGCCTTCCCTGTGCTGGGCAGCTGGAGGGTCACTGCCTTGTTTCTGCCTTTATCTGCCCACAGGAATGTGCCTGCAGATCTGCCTGGTTACAGTTTGCCATGCAAGAGAGCTGAGGAGAGCTGAGCCCTGAGATGGGCTTGGTTTAACCTCCCCTCCTAGGGAGCAGGGTGGCCCCTGTGTCCCAGCCCTTGGTGAGGGCATCCCCTCTGATCCTCCCAAACCTGCAGCTACTGACTCAGGACACAGTGTGGGGCAGTGCCAGAATGCAGCACATCTGTCCCAGGCTTGCTGAGGGCCAGCAGGATGGGGACTGCTGCTTCTAAATACAGACCTGGAGGGAGGCTGCAGCCTCTGTAGCAGACCAGGTCTGGTCTCTTTCAGGAGCATGGCTGCCTTCTCTTCTGGATGTAGCAAAAGGACATTTCTTCAGGGAGTAAAACTTGCTTCCCTTCTCCCTGCTTGTTCTCCAGGGAACAAAGGGATAAAGCAGGTCTGACTGGGGCCCTGAGGAAGGGGCTGTGCCTTTCCCAGAAGTGCTGAAAGGACTGGTGTGACAGTCCCTAGGCCCCACTGGCTGCTGTCCCTGTCACCTGCTCCGGGGGATGCTGGATGGGCCTGATCCATGGGGTGTTCCCTAGGCACCGGGAACATGTCGATGCTCCAGCACAGGGCTCGCCAGGGCTGGAGCAGCCCTCGGGCAGTGCTGCTGCTGAAACTCTCCCTGGCTGGTGGCAGCAGCGGGGCAGGGCCGTGCTGTGGGGCTGGAGCTGCGGCGATGGCAGCGCTGCCGGGGCTCACCACAGCCGGCCTGGGGGTCCCTGCACCCAGCGCTGCCGGGGCTCACCACAGCCGGCCTGGGGGATTCCTGCACCCCCTCCGTGCCCCGCTTCCCCCCCCCCCCCCACCCCGTGCTCCGGGCTGGGCTGCCCCTTTTTGTCCCCCCTCTGCGGCAGTCCCGGGGCACGGAGGGCGATGAGCTCGTCCCTCGGTGCCTCCCGCAGCCAGCAGAACAAGATGGCCCAGATCCCGCCGGGATTTACGCAACCGCGCCGGGTGCGCTATAAATAGACAGCGCCGGGGGGGCTCCGGCTGTGCCCCGCTGCCGCTCCGGCTGCGGGACCGGGGAGCGCTCCCGGCCGGAGAGGGGCGAGGGCTGTGCCCCGGGAGCTGCCCTGTCCGACCGGGTGCTGCGGGGGATCGATGCCGGCTGTGGCGGTGCGTGTGCTGCGGGTGTCCGCCGGGGCTACCCCCGCCCCGCTGCTCCGGGAGCGCAGCTGCGCAACCATCGCGCTCCTCCCCTGCCTCCATGGCCGGGGACCTTCCTCTCTCTGCTCCTGCCCTCCACTCGGAGCAAGGGTGCGGGCTCTGCGCATCGGCACCCGGACGGACCCCGAAGAGCAGGAAAGCCCCCCCCGAGAGCAGCCCCCTTCCTGCCCGGTCCCCGACGCCTGCAGGGAGCACACGGGAGACTCGTTTTGTACCAATTTATTTGAAACGACGATAAATGAAAAGAAAAAAAAAAAAAGAAAACCAAAAAACGACCCCACTAACCCAAACCCTCCCCACCCACCCCCAGACCCATACAAAAACATTGAAGGCCATTGCAGGTGCGGCCGGCGGCCGCCAGGGGGCGCCACTCCAGCGCGCGGGCCGTTGCCATGGCGGCGGGGCCGCGGGCCGCCAGGGGGCGCCCTGACCCTTCGGTGCGGCCGCGAGCGGGCGGCGCGCGGCGGGGGGGGCGGGGCCAGGCGGGGCGCGCGCGGGCGGCGGGAGCGGGACCGGCCCACGTGGCGCGGGGGGGGCCCCGTGCAAAATGGCTGCTATGGAAACCGGGCGGGAAAAAACCCCGGGAAGAACCGGGGGGACGGGGAGGGGGTGAGGGCCGGGAACCGTCTACAGGCGGGGAGGGGCACGGCCGAAAACAAAAGGGCGCGATCGGGGAAAAGCCGCGGAATGGGATGGGGGGAGAAGGGGTGGACAAAATAAGGCGGCAGAGAAGGGAAAGGGAGGGGGGCTGGGGCGGCCGCAGCCCCGCTCACCGCGCACGGCGGTGGCTGCGGAGGCGAGTCAGCAACACAAAGACAAAGCGGGTCCCCTGGGGTCTGTCCTCAGAGCAGTCTGTGCCGCGGGGCTCTCAGCCCGGAGGGCGGCGGGAGGCTCCCTGCGCCTCGGTCTCATGCCTTCCGGCTCTTGAGCGCCTTGGGCTTTGCCGACTTCTTCACCTTCTTGCCCCCGGGGGACGCGGCTCCCTTCTTGGTGGCCTTCTTGGCTTTGCCCTTGTCCTTCTTCGCCGCCGCGCCGCCGGCTCCCTTCTTGTGCGATTTCTTCTCGGGCTTCTTGCTCTTGGCCGCCGGCTTCTCCGCCCTCCGGGTCGAGGAGACCGTCGTCTTCTTGAGGGACTTGTGGGCGCTGTTGCCCGCGCCCCCCTCCCCGCCACCTTCCAGTTTCTTCCTGTTGAGCTTGAAGGAGCCGTTGGCGCCGGTGCCCTTGACCTGGAGCAGCGTGTCGTTCTGTACCAGTGCCTTGATTGAGTACTTCAGGTAAGTCCTGCCGTTCTGCTGGTCGAACCAAGCCACTTTCTTGGCCTCGTTATAGATCTTGGCCAGCGAGGAGCCATTGCGCTCGCCCAGCTTGCGGATCGTCTCCACCACTAGCTGGCTGTATTTGCCCGGCTGGTTCTTCTTCTTGTTGTTCTTCCTTTTCTTCGATGGCGACAACGAGGCGCCGCCGCCTCCTTTCGCCTTCTTAGCAGCCGCTTTCTTCTCCGGGGAGAGCGGCGCCTCCTCTGCCTCGGCCATGGGCAGATCGGTTTCTTCTAGGTCTACCGACATGGTGCGGGGAGTGGCGGGCCGCGGGCCGGCGCGGGGGCAGCGGCGGCGTGGCGGGGCCCGGCGAGCGCAGCGCGCTGTGCCGGCTCCACTCGGTGCGCGTTCTGCCAGGGCGGGCGCCGCCGCCGCCTCTTATATGGGCGCGGGGCGGACCACGTTGAGAACAACAACAGCCTGGTCCGCCGCCAGCCCCAGTTTGTGCTTCTTGGGGCTCGCTCGCGGGGCCCCCGCGCCGCCGCCCGGCCCCCCCGCGCCGCCGCGCCCCGCGCCCCCCCGGCCCGGGCCCGCCGCCGCCCCCGCTGCCCCCGCCGAGCGCCGCCCGACCACCCCCGCCCAGATTTTGGGGGCGCGGCCGGCGCGGCGGCGGCGGCGAGGAGGGGGGCGCCCAGTACGGCGGCGACTGGGGCCTCACCTCGGCCCCCCCGCCCACCGCCGGCGCCGTCGCCCGCCGCCCAAGAGGGGCCTCCGCGGGCGGGGCGAGGCGGCGGGGACCGGGGGGCGGTGGCGGCGGCGCTGGCCCTGGGTTCTCCGGAGGGAACTAACACAGGCGACGCCCTCCCGCGGCCGCCGGCAGCAGCAGCGCGGAGATGCCCCTCCGTGGCCGGGGGTCCCCGCCCCGGCGACTGGGGCCATCCCCCCACCGACCCTCATCCCCCTGGTCAACGGGGGGGCGGCTCCCGGGGGAGCCCTGCGTGCCCGGTGTGACCCCCCCCCCGCTCCCGGCGGAGGATGCGAAAAGCGCGGCGGGGCCGGGGCAGGGCTGGGGAGGGGCCGGGAAGCCTCCCGGCCGGGCTCAGGAGTGGGTATGGGGGCGTGTGTGACTCGTGTCCGCCCCTGCAGCCTCTGCCTGCCGTGGTACCGAGCGCCGATGCAGGCGCGGCTTCTGTGAGCGGGGGGGAAGGGGGCAGCAGCGATGCTCTGAACACCCATCCCCCATAATTCACCCCATCTCCCCAAATCCCAGCGGGGAAACGCGGCTGAGGGGGGAAGGGAGCGCACGACCCCTCCCTGGCCGAGCCCCGGCGCTTCCCCCGCTCCTGGGAGTGGGATCCGCGTGCCCCCGCTGCGGGTGGGCCGGGACACGGGGCACAGGCACGGGGGCGTGCCCGGCTGTGCACACACCCCTGCACACGCACACACACAAAATGCACACACACGTACGGACACACGCACATACACCCACACACACACAGGCACACACACACACACGCACCCACACACACACAGGCACACACACACCCACACACACCCAGGAACACACACACACACAGGCACACACACACACACACACACAGGCACACACGCACCCACACACACACAGGCACACCCGCACACGCTGTCGCACCCGCCCCCTGCCCACGCACGCCGAGCCCGCACAGCCCCGCCGCCCTCCCTCCCTCCCTTCCTCCTCCCCCTCTCCCCCTCTCCCATCCCCCGGCTCTCTCCGCCATTTCCCTCGCCCGCAGCCCCCGCCGCCGGCGGGACGAGTCCCCGCGCTCTCGGGGCTCCGGGGGCGGCCGGATCCTGCCCAGCCGCGGCTGTGAGCCCATCCCGAAGCGATGAGCAGAGATCCCCCGAACAGCGGGGCTGTGCCCCCCGAGCAGCCGTGCCAGGCATCCCTGTGATGAGTTCTGCCCGCCTCGGGCTCGGAGAGAGGGCACAGCCCCGGCATCCCCCACCGAGAGGCCCCCAGAGCACCGGGAGCATCGAGCACCACCCCGGGACCCGGCAGCCACCGCCTGCACGGCTGTCAGCGGGGGGTGAATGATGTGCATGTGTGTAACATGCAAACACACACCTGTACATGTGTAAATGTGACCCTGTAGCCGGGTGGAAGCTTATAGCTAAGCCGGCTACAGAGCGTGGTTGGTATGTATGTTGTGTCTGTTATAGATGTGTGATATCTAATAGTTGTTGTTTAATGTAATAGCTACAGTAAATTTAAAATAAATGTGCCTGCATACACATAAAGACATAGCTATATATTTTTTAAAATTGACATAAACATATGAAAATTTAAGAGCAGTACACGTGTGTGGGTGGGTGGATGTGAGAGCAGGGCTGGGCAGTGAGTGCACTGATCTCAGCCTGGCTGTGTGGCTGGGAGCAGCACAGGGACCATCCAGCACCAACCCCCAGCCAGAGAGAGCCAGCGCTGTCAGTCAGGGCTGCTCTCCCTCCCCTCCAAGGACAGGGCAGGGAATGGAACACACACGTGGAAATATGTGTGTGAATAGAATGTGTGGGGGAGGCTGCTTGTGTGTGTCAGAGAGAAACACAGAGGATGGGAGAAAATAGCCCCAACACACACACAGACACACACACACACAAACACACACAGAGACACAGACACACACACACACACACACACAGAGACAAACACACACATAGAGACACACAACACACACACACAGACACAACACACACACACAGACAAACACACACACACACACAGAGACACACAGCACACACACAGACACACACAGAGACACACAACACACACATACAGACACAACACACACACACAGACAAACACACACACACAGACAAACACACACACACACACAGAGACACACAGCACACACACAGACACACACAGAGACACACAACACACACATACAGACACAACACACACACACAGACAAACACACACACACAGACAAACACACACACACACACAGAGACACACAGCACACACACAGACACACACAGAGACACACAACACACACACACAGACACATAGAGATACAGAGACACAACACACACACAAACACACACACAGACACAACACACACACACACAGACACACACACAGAGACACACAACACACAGAGACACACAACACACACAAACACGCACACAGACACACACAGACACACACAACACACACACACACACACAACACACACACAGACACACAACACACACCACACACAGACACACACACACACAGACATTCTGTCCCCACATGAACACACACACTTACATGGACACAGCCAGACTTGTTCACACACACAGCTCTCACACATGCATACATACAGAGATAACTCCACAGGCAGCTCTCTCTGGCTATATATACCCACACATTGGCATTTATAGAAACAGGGGATGAGAGCGAGCGTGCTGTTCAAACATTCTCACTGTGCACACACAGACATACATAATGTATGCAATATGTACTGATGTGGGGATAAGCTCTCACACTCTTTTCTCCTGCCCTCTCTGTGCACACAAATGCATGCACACTATTTCTGCCACTGTATACATCCATATAGGTATGCTTAGAGACACACAGTGAGAGCTGGTCACACACATTATTCTCTCCTGCTGTCTGTAAATACATGTGCATATATACCTGAGGAAAAGAGCAAGACTATTGTCTCTCACACACACATTTTCTATCACTCTCTCTCCCTGCCCTATATAATTGTCTCATCTCTGTATCATTCTTTCTCAGTATGTGATACATTATAGAGAGAGAGCTTTTCTCACTCATTACTGGCTCTGTATAATGTACATGTGTACAGAGTGTTCACTAATAATTATCTATATATGATTTTATACTATATAATTAGAGAGAGCATTGCTTATACATATTGTTCTCTGTTCATATATATGCATATATACCTATATACTGAGTGTTTTCACACATGACAGTCTCCTTTCTGTTCCTGTATAGATGTGTATATATGCATATATATATTTATATATACACACACCCTTATGGACACAGATGTTCACAGGTAATTCTAACAGAACATAGAGAGTTAGGGGAGAGCTGTTCACACACATAATTTCATAATTTGCTCACTACATGGGTATACATATACTATTTAGGGAGAAAGCTGTAACATATATATATATGTTAAAAAAGCTGTAACATATATATGTTATATATATGATATGTTATATATGTTTTATATATAAATATATATACATATATATATGAACTTCTATATGGAGAGAGAACCTGTTTTATTACAGAATTCTCTACATATTTATACATACATTATACATGTAGACTTTGGGAGCCAGCACACACACAACTCTCTCTTGTTATATATAAATAAATGCACACATACACAAAGATCTTCACTCAGCAATAGTCCGTGTGAAGAGTTCACACTAACAATAATCTCTGCTCACACATATCCTCTCTCTTGCCATATCTATAGATTTAGACATATATAAATAACAAAATGAGTGAGCAATTCATATACATGAACACATTTGCCATGACTCTCTCTCTCTTTGCCCCCCCCCCCCCCCCCCCATATAAACTCTCTGGGATACATAAATATATGTATATCTATGTATATATGTTGATCTATTCTCTCTCCATATGTACACACATGGGTAGAGCTAGTAAGAGCCATTCTCACACACAGTACTCTCTCTTGCCTTATATATGAGTATATAGATGCATATATGCATATACATACAGATTTCATGCACAGTTCCCACTCTGTATTGTACTTAAAGAGCTGTTAACACTCACAATTCTCTTCCTCTCTTCCTGCACACAGATATACATATTTATATACCTGTATCTATAGAGAGACAGTCCTTCTTCCTTTCCTGCTACACACACGTGCACACACTCCATGTGTGTATACATATATGTACATAGATACTAGGGGGATGAAGTAGCAGGTATGGGATTTATAAAGTATAGTTCTATATTATATAGACTGTGTATTTATAGATGTGCATATATACATGCACTGAGCTGTTCAGAGATCTGTTTCACATACAACACTTTCTGATGTATATTCTCTCTGTATGCATATGTTCTCACCCATGAAATGCCTTTTTTTGTAATAAACTATATACATACATATATTTGTGTATATATATATAAACTTCCCACAGAGAATTCTCTTTATATATGCATATATACATATATAACTGGAGAAAGCACTGTTTGCACACTCATGTATATTTATAGAACAAGAACCTGTGAGCTGTTCACAAATGTGCATAATTCTCTCACTCCATGTACATACATAGATCTGTGCTTAGGAAGGGATGAGAGCTCTTTGCATACAAGTTCACCTGAAATATATTTATTTTTATATATGCACAT